GAGAGAACCACCCTACGAGCCCCACAAATACCACCACAAAGCACAACGCTATGAACCCATCTCACAAGGGAGAAGTAAAGCACACGAAGTCAGCACGAAGAATCATGACCTATCACGACCCCGTTAAAACACGTAGCCCGATCCAAATACACCACAAGTCTCGACACCATTCAATACAAGCCCCAAATTCTACTCATACGCAAATCCGAAAATCCTTAAACACCACATATACATCTTGAACTCATTATAACCTTCTCAAGAGTCGCTCACCTCTCTCCAATATCCAATGCATAGCCAATACGCACCGAACAACCCGCGCTCCACCAGTACATAATTATAAAAAAGAAGCAACAAAGTGATTCATTTCCTTGCACACTACATCCACAACGAGTATCAAACCTGAATCATCTCAAGAAGTGTCCTTTGATAAGTTGGTATTTTTTCAACTTCTCTTATGCCTTTTAATAGAGTTATGCCCCCGTTAATGTGATTAATGGGCTAATTATGTTTTGAATGATATAATTGCAAGTCGTGGAGTTGGATGAGAATTAAGATATTGAAAATCATCAAATTCTTGCAAGAAAAATATCAAATTCAGGCCAAAACTGAAGAAGAAAACTAAATAAGCAAAAGTCCATCCTGTGTGGGCCACGCAAGTCACCCACGCATTTGGAGAACTTGGAGGTTGGAATTTTAAGTTCTGGTAGTGGCCACGCATCCTGCGTGGGCCACACATCTTGGCCACGGACTGAGAGCTGAAGGAATAGAGTATTGGGCCATGCATCCTACGTGGGCCACTCTACTTGACCACACAAGACCCGACGATTATAATTTTGTCAGCTTTTTAGAAGAGTATAAATATATTTTTAGGTCTTTTTTTGACAACTTTTGACAGAGAGGAATATTGTACGAGCAACTGTGAGTTTTCCAAAGGGTTAACAAGTGACATCACGGTTTTTCAATCTTCTTCTTCGCATCAATAATTGGATTAAAGATAATTTGATTATTTCTTCTATTGTCATGTCTAGCTAAACTCATTAGCTAGGGTTATGAATTCGGAGCAGTGTTATGACTATGTGTTATTAATATAGATTCATCTTTGATTAAATATTACGTTATGTAATTGTTCCATATTTGTTTTATGATTTGGTGGTTGTAAACACTACATTCTAACTTGGAAAAGTAGAAACGAGTTTAGTACAAAGCTTGTATCATAGAATTTGGTAGATTACCGAATTAATATCATCTCAATTAATGGAATCAAACTAGGAATAGGGAGATTCTTACTTGGAAATTAACAATTGTATTGCATAAAGCTCTAAAATAGCTTGGAAAGGCATTTGTGAGTAAAAACCTCTTAGTGTTGGAAATTACTAAGTTGGTATTAATAGCAGATTTTAACCGATCGACTATTAAGCATGAAACAAAAACTTCTATATAAAGCCAACAATCCAAAGTAGATACTTAACATCCCAAAACCGGTAGTACAAGTCATAAACCCTACTGAGTTCACTAGAAAATCTCTAAATACAACTGTTCCGGAATAAAATAAATAGTACAAAGTAAAACTTTAAAAGGTGACTCTGATGCTTGCGAACGCGACGGCATGTATACCTTGAGTCTCCGCAACAACACTCGATCAACTAACTAAAAATCAACATACTCCGAGGTACCTGGATCTGCACAAAATGTGTAGTAAGCATAGCATGAGTACACCACATCGGTACCAAATAAGTATCAAAACTAACCTCGGTGGAGTAGTAATGAGGTACAACCAAGACACCTACTAGACATAATAACTTGTACAAGTATGATTATGAAACTAACAGGGAACAATATAAAGCTAAACATGATAAGAATGTTTCTACCATACTTGCAATAAGAACTAGAATAACAATTAACAACAAGGAGCCAACATGTAATTATGCCGTAAGGTAAGCAGAGTACAGTTTAAGTCGGGTGACACCAAGTAAAGGAAAACCAGTAACATCCCAATTAAAACAACCGCTTTCACACAAGATTTATTCAAGAATTTCCCCGAGGTACCACACCTCATAATCACAAATCACGGGTCCGAAATCACGAGCCCTATTCACTTGACATCTTGTGTCCTTGTTACAAATCACGTGCTGCACGGACAACTCACGTGCCAATACCATTAATACCTCATATCTGCACGGACAACTCACATGCCAATAGTAGCAAAATCTCATACAGAAGGCAAGTATACGAGAATAAATGTAAATGGTCAATAAACATCAGGGTTCATCTTCTTAGACTGATATAAGTGACTAATTACGGTGTGCTTGTGCAAGTGTTATGTCGCGACTCGAGTCAACAAGTAAGATCAGACACAACGAATGGCACATAGGAAACAACACAACGAAACGTAAAATGCATGACTCACATAAAGTAGGCACACCACTACACAAATATTATCAACAACAATGCCCCAAGGCCATCACAAGTCATAACAAATCATCCTTGACATAGCCCCCTTTGTCTCGCTGCGTGCGCAATAATAAAGTAAATGCCCGCCTTGTCTCGCAACACGCGCATAATAATATTCCCGCCTTGTCTCGCTACATGTGCAAACCCACATATGTATAGCCCGCCTTGTCATGCCGCATGTGCAAATATCAATAATAACAATAGCACGGACAATTCACGTGCGAACACCCCGACAAATCCTCTCAACAATATCACGTGTGCCAAAAACATAACAACACAATATAACAACTCGCACCACATGTGCTCATATGCCACAATGTTTTCTCAAGACAATTCCAATACCACAACCACACATACTCGGCTCAACAACACTGAGTACAACAACAATAACACGGGAGTACGGCAAGTGAATCAACACAAAATTACAAAACACAAGGAACAGAAAAGCGAGCTCATGATGAAAGACATAACAAGTAATAAACTCAACAATGAGAGAGGTAGTGTGTAACAACGATGTCAAATAAGAGTAACTCAACAATAGCAGAGATAACATATAACAATGATTTCAAATAAGAATAACTCAACAATAAGAGAGATAACATGTAACAATGATTCCAAATAAGAATGACTCAACAATAAGAGAGATAGCATGTAACAATGATTCCAAATAAGTACAACTCAACGATAAGAGAGATAACATGTAACAATGACTTCAAATAAGGATAAGTCAACAATGGAAAAGATAACAATAACTTCAATTAAGGATAATCGACTACGGAAGAGATAACATGGCAATAAACGAGGCAACAACTTCAATTAAGGCATATAAAAGTATATTTTGACAAAAAAGGATAGGACATGAACCAATCAACTTCAAATAAGACATGTAAGGGTAAATTTAGCAATGGAGGATATACCATGGTAAGACAACTTCATTTTGATGTACATAAGAAACTAAGAGTCTAAATCGTTCAAAATTCCATATAAGCCGTGTACACACTCGTCACCTCGGGTACACGTATTTCACGTAGTTCAATTAGTGCAAACAAACCAATCCTTACGGGGTAGTTCCCTCACACAACGTTAGGCAAGATACTTACCTCAAAAGCCCTCAATCAATACTCTAAAATAGCTTTCCCTTTACAATTCACCTCCGCTCGGCTCAAATCTAATCAAAATCTACTCAATAACATCAAATAATGCAAGAGAAATCAATTCCAATAATTAAAGCTATGATCTTTACAAAATTCCTCAAAAGTCAACCCCGGGCCCGCCTGGTCAAAACTCGGGTCCAAGGGTAGATTCCGACTACCCATAATCCCATGAGTCTATACATGTGTTTTGTTTCAAAATCCGAGTCCAATTCGACTCTCAAAACTCAAATTCTCATTTTTCAAAACATAGACAAAAATTCTCAAAATTTCACTTTGATTCTCATAATTTTGATGTTAAAACTCACATATAATCATGTAAAATAATTGAAAATTGAACGAAATCACTTACCCAATGATTGTAGATGAAAATCCCTCTTCAAAATCGCCTCCTACCGAGTCTAGGGTTCCAAAATATGAAAATGAGACTAAAAATCCCGCCCCTCAGCTTTTTGTCCAGGTGCAGGTGTCGCAAATGCGACCTGGGATTCGCAAATGCGAACCCCGCAAATGCGAGAAATCAATCGCAAAAGCGAAGAACCTCACACCCCTGCTGACATCGCAAATGCGATGCAAAGTTCTCAATTGCGAACATAGGACACTTTGCAAATGCGACCATAGAGATCACAAATGCGAACCAGCTCACCCAGGCCACCCCATCGTACATGCGAACACTGGGTTCGCAAATGCGAACCTAGCAGACTTAGCCAAACATCTCAATTGCGACTCATATCTCGCAATTGCGAGACCTGAAGTTTCTGTGCAAAAACCAACAGTTCTTAAACTCTATCAAATACTCCGCAACGCGTCTGAAACTCACCCGAGGCCTCGGGGCTCCAAACGAAACATCAACACAAGTTTAAAAACATAACACGAACTCGCTCGCGCGATCAAATCATCAAAATAACATCCGAAGCCATGAATCGGACCTCCAAAACACATGAAATCAACATGAAACTCAAAACTTCTAAAAACACAACCGCGCGTCCGATTCCTATCAAATCAACTCGGAATGACGCCAAACTTTGCGGACAAGTTCCAAATGACAAAACGGACTTATTCCAAGTCACGAAACAGAAATCCAAACACTATAGGTATGAAGTCAACCTACGGTCAAACTTATCAAAATTCTAAGCCTTTCAATTGCCAACTTTTGGCAAAACAACACAAATCAACGTACGGACCTCCAAAATCGATTCTGGGCATATGCCTAAGTCCAAAATCATGATACGAACCTATCAGAGCTATCAAAACACCGCTACAGGGTCGTTTTCACAAAAGTCAAACCTCGGTCAATTTCCTGCCTTATATATTTGCTGCATATCATTGACAGCACCCAATTTCCTGCATTATATATTTGCTTTTATTCCTTTTATGCCTTCAACTTAAAATGATCTTACCGGTTCTTCAAATTTCAGGGTCCTCTCTTTCAGCAGCGTCCATACCCATCTCCTGGAGCAGTCTTACGTAGGAATGCTGAAATTGCCTCTCAAAAGAAAAATCCTAAATCGCATCTTACCCCTATATCTAAGAGAGGTGATGGTAAGGATGGACTGGGTGATGCTGATTGAAGAATTTAAGCCTTCATGTTATATTATTTGCTTAAAGTGAGTATTCTCTGCGCGAAATTCTTGTCATTGTCAGTTTGAACTCGTTGCTTCATTTTTGAACTGTCAATTTTTTTTCTGTTTCAAGGAGGATTCACAGAGGGAGTTTCTCCAGTTGAAGTTGCTAGACAACAAGGCGCTAAACATTATTACACACATTCTATCGTAAATTTGTAGCTAAAACGCTAGTGTGTATTCTTTTTATCTTTTATTTTTTTGTTAGAGACTTCCAAAACTTTAGAAACAGGGACTATCTTAGGAGCATAGACCAGCCGCTGTATAGAAGCTGTTAGTTGTAACCTCTTATATATGATTGGCATATGATTTTTGTAACGAGCGGATGAGTAGAGAAAGACTTGTCCTGAAGTGGAGTCAACTTGAAGTCTCTACTAAAGTCTGCACGCTGTTGCAGGATCAGGAACTGAGTTTTTATTTCTCTTATCTAATTCGTTTCACTACATTCTTCTAAAAGTACAACTTTCATTTAAAATTTAATTTATACTTCTGGACAAACCATCCTCTTTTAACGTTTTTGGACAACCACAAACTACTTTGCAATAATCACATATTTGCTCAATAATTAAGTCGGAGCTTAATTAATCTCACTATCTTATGAATAGCCTCTCAGGGGTATAAATCTACAATAGTTTTTGACATTTTGCCTTATGAAAGTACATAGTCAAAAATCAGCAAGCGGTAAAGTTGGAACTTATTTTGGCACCAAAATCAAAGAATATCGCTAGAGGGTAATCGTAAAAATTTATGCGAAATATCATTCTGCATTTAGTTGCCACGTTCTGAATAATATTGAGTTATAATTATAAAATTCTCTTTGAGGTTCTTTGTAAGTTACCCAACTTGATCAGAGAGATTAAATCATATTTATTTTTATACTATTGTCTTATTATTACCTTCAAAGTGATAGATCTTTAAACTGTTACAAACCAAATAGGTTGTAGAGGATATTTCATTCATTTTTGCTTGCGCCGTCACTTGTTGTTAGGGCAAGTGTCCATTCATGTCTGTTCTACAACCATTGATGTTTTGTCTATTCATATTTGCTATTTCTGCTAACCTCTCCTCTTGCTTCCCAATTTTGATTACAAGTTTGATTGAACTCGATAGTTTTGGTGCAAATTTTGTATTTATATTGAAATTATACAAACTATTAACTTAGAACTCAGTAATGAATGCAAACTTTAAATTAAACTTCAAATTTTAGCTCTGCGCCTTTGTTCTCACACGATTTTCTCTTTTCCATTTCCTTGCTTTTTGATCATTTCCTCCTCTCTCGTTTTTTCTCCCACCTCCATTTCTTGTTTCCTCAATAATTTTTTCTGGCTGTTCTCTTGTCCTCCTTGCTTGTTTTTGGTTTTGTTTTGGTTGTATCTCGATTACTGTCTTCTCTGTTCCTCAGTTATATTGAGGAACTCATCTTTAAATATCTGCTCAAGCCTTTAGTGTGGTTGCTTTTGGTTGATTGCTATGACGATTGTTTGTAGCTATGTATAGTTGTAGTTTTTCTCTAGAAGAAATCAGTGCAAGCACTTATTTTCTCTATCAATAATAAGTTGCCAACTGACATTTGACAAAACCACCTGTGTTGTTGCGAGGCGGTGTTCAATTTAGAAAGTGTTATATTATCAGCTAGGCATGAAGCTGTTTCTTTTTTTATTTTTTATTTTGGAGCAAATTGCGTTTCTTCTCTTACATTGATTTCGGATTAATAATGTCTGCTTGACAATTTTGAAGAAGAGCTTTGAATTTATTCATTGTTTGCAAACCAAAAGAAACTAGAATTTTTTCAAAATTTCCAAGAATCCACCAAAGCAAGAATAAGGAAAAAATAAAAAGTGAAACACATACTACAATTATTTAAAAATAACGGAAAACTCGAACCAATACTCCAAATTTCTTCGGAATTTTCATCATCGATTCGCACAAAATTTCACTGTCCTACGTTTCCCTCTCTTGCGATACTATCCACATCACATTTACCAGTTACCAATTTCCCCTTTTTTCCGACACCCATATAGTATATAAAAGTAAAACTCCTCGTAGATAAAACTTATAATCAGCTCCAAAATCCATTTACGCTGAAGCTTGACAATTACTCCTAGAATTGTATACACGAACCCGAAATTTTGGAGTACAGAGATGATCCTTAGTTACACAGAAGCTAGAACATAAGAATTATACCCAGATGCGAGAAACCAAAATCTTGGTAAATATATCAATGATTGTTGATTTATTTTAGTGATCTTCTGGTAAAGAATTGGAGTATTAAAGCTTTTTTTTTGAATGGTACTATGGCAGCCTATTGTCCATGCAAGTTTGATATGGGTCGGAAAGTTGCTGGTGGGCCAATCCATTTTCAAGATTGTCAGCTAAGATATGTAAAAATTTCAGGGTTTGGTATTGGGTTTTCATATGGGTATAGGCGTGGGAGGTTGAGATGGGTTCAAAGGAGAAGACAGAAGAAGCTTGTTGTCGGTGCTGAGCTCTCTAGTGCTTTCTCCTCTAACGTTGGATTCGATTCTCAGGTTGTTTTTTATTTTTTTTCATTTACCTACTAGTGTCATTCTCAGTTAAAGCTTTGATTGAATATTTGCCCTCTTATCTTGTTAATTTGTTGGTTGGAACTGTGCTGACAGAAAGGGATGTTCAACTGAACCTAATAGCTTTGACTCAAACCCAGTCCATGTGTTAAAATGTCTACTAAATAAATACAAATAATAGATTTTGAGCCTAGTAAGTCAAATGGGTTGTGATAAAATTTCGAACTCGAACCCATAAAGTTCAAATCTTGACTCCCCTCTGTGCACTAGTGATGACTTTACAAGCCAGTGAGTCTTCAGATAGAGCAGACTTGAGATTGTGTTTCGGAGCATTTGTTTCATGTAAGATATGCCAAGGTTGAACCTTGATATGTCCTGGTATAGGGAGTAAAAGCCAGAGAGATGAATTCTAAGCAGAAGTGCAAGCTATTATATCCGATTCTAGCTGTTTTGTTTTCGCCCCAATAAGGTGACAGAGAGTATCTGATAGCTTGTTTCATAGTTTTGGTGTCTTTTGTATTGACTGATATGAAAAACCAAGTGGTTCTTGCTTGAAACTCGAAGCGAAAAACAGCTTAGTTGATTAATTTAAATTTTAAGCAAACAAACGTTTGCACACAAATCTTTCAACTATGTTATGTTCTCATTACCCTTTTTTGTTGTTTCTAATTAGTTCTTAATTTGAAAGTTTTGCCTTTTGTTTTCGTATGGTTTGTTTACTTGATCCGGGATGGTTTCTAGTCAAAATTTATGTTTTTATTTTCTGATATAAGTAACTCAATTAACAAAAAATGGGACTACCCCGTATACTAGAGGTATTATGAAGTTCTAGATAAATAGTTTCCGACTATTAATCTCTGCCTGCAAGTTGTTGGTTTGAACTTTTTGTTATTAGCTGACAGCTTTCCTGAAATTTTAAACTCTCCAGCCCCGTGATATACTGAAGTTACCCTGGATTGGCCCTCTACCTGGCGATATTGCTGAGATAGAGGCTTATTGTAGAATCCTTCGTGCTGCCGAACAACTTCATAACACATTAATGGAGACACTATGCAATCCAGTGAGTGGAGAATGTAGTATCTCATATGATGTACCCTCAGAAGATAAACATTTACTGGAGGATAGAATAGTTTCTGTTCTAGGATGTATGGTATGTCTTCTAAACAAAGGGAGCGAGGATGTCCTATCTGGGAGATCCTTTATCATCAACTCATTCAGTGATTTTGATGTGCATGTAATGGATGATAAGCTTCCTCCACTAGCTTTTTTCAGAGGTGAAATGAAGAGGTATTGTGAGAGCTTGCATGTTGCTCTTGAAAACTTTATAACACCTGATGATCCTACGAGCATTAATGTATGGAGAAAGCTGCAAAGACTGAAGAATGTATGTTACGATTCTGGATTTCCCCGTGGAGATGACCATCCCCACCATACATTGTTAGCTAATTGGAATCCTGTTTATTTTTCATCAGAAGAAGAGACACAATCTGCAAGTTCTGAGGTTGCTTTTTGGACAGGTGGACAGGTAACTGAAGAAGGTCTTAGATGGCTGTTGGAGAGAGGATTCAAAACTATTATAGATCTCAGAGCTGAGACTATAAAGGACAACTTCTATGAAAAAGTGCTAGACGAAGCCATTTCCTCTGGAGATATTGAAGTACTGAAACTCCCTGTTGAAGTTGGCACAACACCTTCAGTGCAGCAGGTTGAGAAGTTTGCAGCACTGGTCTCTGATGTATACAAAAGACCCATATATCTCCACAGTAAGGAAGGAGTTTGGAGGACATCAGCTATGGTCTCTAGATGGAGACAATACATGACTCGCTACACACCACTCTTTGTACCGAATGCTAATAAGGATGTGACCTCCAGTGTGAACTCATTTTGTGGTAGTAGAGGAACACAAGAGGCAGGCACGCCAGTTAACTCAGAAGAAAATAAAACTTCTACTTGTGAAGGTATGTCTGCATCTGATCACAAAAATGGGACACTACCTGCAAGATCAAACAGCATAAATTCTGCTGGGAAACTTTTCAAACAAATTCCTGAAGCTAGGGAACACAAAGGCCTAAGTAAGAATGAAGCTGATGATACTGTTGCAGTCACTTGGAAAGGCACATTGCTTACTGCTGATGGTAAAACAAACCCTCTCAAGTCGCAACTGCCTCCCCCTAAATTTTTCTCCCGAACTGAGATGTCTACATATTTCAGGAGTAGAAAGGTTTCACCAGAGACATATTTCACTCATGAAAAGAAAAGATTGGAGGGGCTCCATGCTTCGAGGTATTACTACAAGAGAATACCTAAAGGGAATGCAATCATAGACAGTTACACTGAGGACAGAGCTATCGATTCTAGAAATCCAAATGGGCCACCTAGTAATATGGGCTTATCAACGAAACCTTCGAATTCCTCTGCGAATATGGAAAAGTATGGGGGTCATAATGGCTCTGCAGCGCCAATTTTGAATAGATTCAACAATGGTGAAGTACATACCTCTGTTAAAAGCAGTAGTCTTATTGATGCAAGTAACGAGTTGGATACTAATGCTGTGTCCTCAGCCACTGCCATTGAGAGGAGGAACATTGAGGCCCCCAGGCCTTCAGTTGATGATAACATGGAGCTAATTGAAGGAAATATGTGCGCTTCTGCAACTGGTGTGGTAAGATTGCAGTCCAGAAGGAAGGCAGAGATGTTCTTGGTTCGCACAGATGGGTTTTTGTGCAACAGAGAAAAGGTAACAGAAACTTCCTTGGCCTTCACTCATCCTAGCACCCAGCAGCAGATGCTTTTATGGAAATCCACGCCAAAGACCGTACTACTTTTAAAGAAGCTGGGACAAGAACTCATGGAAGAAGCCAAAGAGGTGCTTACACAGTTATCACTTATCGATCTTGGAC